GCGAACGCGAACACTAGTACACACACGGCGACATCTTTGTACACTTAATCCGCATGAGTTATTCACCTTTATCCGATTCGAACGCGAACACGTAGAATTACTTAGGCGAGGTCTTACGCGCAACGAAAGACCGAAAGTTTCCCTCTAAATCAGCCGGGCTGCAACCACAACAGAAGTGGATGCCGCGTTAAATGCAGTTTCCAGTTCGATCTCCATCCATTTCGAAGAGGAGAACCTTTCGGAAGAGGAGAAAGAGCACGGAGGGATTGGTTATGAGGTTTGGTAGAGGGTAGTAAAGGGTGGAACAGCACGGAGGGAAAGGAAGGAGGAGAAGGAGGAGTGGAAGGGAAAGGTGAATGTCGGATAGAAGGGTGAAGACCGGTAGCAGAGAAATACAGAGAGTGTGTGCTTATGCCCGAAATCCAAAGCAATCGACGCAATAAGCGAAACAATAGTGCTTACGAGCACGCCAACTTCGCACCGCGCAACTTCGTCGGCTCGGTTTGGCATGGGCTTCCTTATCTAGCCCCGTACCGAGTTATTTAAACTCTCGTATCTCTGCCAGTCCCGTTCTCTCCGGCCTCACTCTCTTTCTCACACCTCTCTCTCTCTCTCTCTCTCTCTCTTTCCCCCCTCCTGTCTCTCTGTCTCTCTTTCATTCTATTCGATCTCCGTCTCTCTTTCTCTTCTTCCCTCCAACCATTCTGCGCTTCTGTACCCACTCCACCCTAGCGCTCTCGCTAATGGCTAATGATTATTGCCGGCCCGTTAGATTGCAAGTGTCTGGGATAGCGACGTAGCACGAGCCCACCGTAATAACAATGTTTTATTCACCCGAAGACATTTGATACACTCAGCTGCCGGGTATTTTGTCAGAAATAATGGATTCCCAGCGATACGCTCTTAGTTCGCCACCAAGCGCCAACCCCCTTCGTTCCGAGGCCATTGCTCGAACAATAAGGAAATGAAGCGGAAGAATTAAAGCGATGTTAGACCGACCGCGAGTGAGTTTCGCGAATTAAAGTAGACGATCGTGGTTTGTGTTGGAACCGCGACAGAACCATTTCATTCGACTTTTATCATTTCGTTTGGCTTTATTTTATCGGAAGCTTTGATTCACGACTCGTTTCACTGCGCGAAATGATAATCAAGAGAGACAATGATCCCTTCGAATTCGCACGAATGCTGGTCCCGCCATAAATTTCGTAAATTCCTAGCGAGGAGATTCGGGCCCCCGAGGTCGTGGAGAGATGCAATCGCAACCACCTGAAGATCGAATCTCGAAGCTGTCCGTTCAACGCCGTTTATATGAAACAATCAGCACGGTCCTTTTCATTTCGTCGTCGATCAACGCGTTCCTAATTGATTCTTCCGTTCAGATTTCTTACTTCTTTCATTCGACGCTCCACGTAATAATCCATAGTAAACAAATTGAACGTTTCAATAAAGAGATCGTAAAATCTCCAACCTTTAAATACCGACTTTCTCCCTCCTCGCAGAGAAGAAGAATCGTCTCTTACTAAAGCGGAATCTGGAGTAACGTCGATGGGGCGGAAATCTAACCGAGGAAAGAGTTGGCGGCGTCGATGTAAAGCGGTAAATCAGCATAGATTTAGAGGGAGGGAGGGGGAGGGATGAACTTTATGGAGCGTGAACGTAACGTGGAGTTTCATTAGGCGCGGGTGGCGCATCGCGGACAAGGGGGAACCGGTGGTAAAATTCCTCGTTGATGAAATTAACGATTAAGGAATTTGACTGTTGAATGGGCGATCGAGCCGCGCCGCAAAGTGGCAAAGGGATGAAAGGGCAGGCGGGGGAGTGGGAGGGGCGGGGCACTTGTTAATTTCCCACGTTACAAGCGTTGTCGTCGGACCGCGTATTATACATGTATAATATGCCGGTTTACGACGTGTTTATTAGAGTTAACCGTGTTGCGGCACTACATATGAGAATATCTGCTCATTCTGCATAAACTGACAATTGCCGTGGCAGCAGGTGACAAGCAGTCATCGCGGTGCCCACCCGGTCGACGAAATCCACGTTACACCCTCTCCTCCGCCCCTGTGTATGAACGCGCGATCTACATATGACGAAATTTATGGCGTCATCCGTCACCGGCACTCTCATTGCCCGCTTGCTAATTTTGAATCCGTTTCGCGAATTAACGTCCACCCTCGGCTTTCACCTTGCTCGGATTGTTCTTTGCTCGTGAGCGAACCTACCGATCGATCTGAATCCTCTGGTGAACGATGTAATCGAATCTTTCTACTCAATCGAGTAGTTGATTAAATCGATTCTGGATTTCGAACTTAACGGGGAGAAATTAGAAATTCTGGTTAGGCCAGTGTACTTGTTACACGCTATTTAATGGAAAATTCTAACGAAATTTTAATCTTCATTGTTTCAGTGGATTCCTTTTTCTATAATTTGGTAATTTTACGCTAAGTACCAGAAAGAACCAGCTGGCTAAATTTCTAAAATCTATTCGTGGAATTTAATTTACTCGTCAAGGAAAATTTCGCTAATATCATTCTAATTTCACAATTCTAATACTATAATATGTAATATATTTTTAATATAAAGAAACAGGAAAATCGTGAACAGATATTAGATAGAAATTATTACGTTCGAAGAACTATCGTTCCAAATAAAATCTAAATAAATTATTTGCGAACGAAGTGTTAATTATAGAAACATGATTCCTTTCCAGCACCCAAAGAAATGAATTTAAAAATGTAGCACCCAGGGAATATAACTTTACATTTAAGTTTACATTAGAGAATATAATTACCAAACAGATACTAAGAAACGTGGAAGAATTACGACAAAGGTAGTACGCTGAATCGAATTATTTGTTTGGTAAGAAGCACGGAGAATGGTCTCGAGTTTACGATTACACAGCGAGAATCGCGCGACTGTTTGCACATTGTGACAAACGGAAAATAGTCTGTCTTGAAAGGAAACCTTCAGGAAAAGTTCAGAGATGAAGCAGAAAGGAGGAAAGCAGAAAAAGCGATCGTAGCTGCATCATCATCGCGGAATGATGCGTTCGAAGCGTTCAAATCGTTTCACAGTTTTCGTCTCAGTTTCATTTCGAAAATTTGTAATACCATAAGTATCGTAGCTATCGTCTATAAAATATTAGATAATTTCTTTCGCTGAAACGATGTGACTACGTGAGCATTATTGCCACTTTGAAAGAAAGCGAGAAACGCAACTAGTTGTTGCCGTTTGTGGAATTTATTTCTCTGCTTTCGTTAACACTCTTACCTCTTTGTTTTCGTTAACGTGATATTTCATTTGTAATTTTTAAAATACTATGTTAATAACTTATTAATATAGTTACTAAAGGATTTATTTAATATCTTTCCTACTCAGAATTTGTAGTGTAATAATTTTATCTATAATTTATAAAAAATTACCTTTAATGAAAACGATTGCTTGAATCTTTAACGGATAAACGTCGTTTATCGCGAATTTTTTTTTCTCGCGAAAAATTAAAATCCAGAGGATTGAATCTTGAAAACTAGCGTTCGTTTCTTTTTATGGTATATTTCTCCAGTTAAACGACCTTTGCAGATTCACACTCGGCATTATATCTAGTTTCAGTGGTGCGAATGGGACGCGAAATTATTTCTTTCTTTCGCGTCGAACGTGTCGCGTTACGTTGCGATTTAAAATTTTTCTTTTCAAGTGGTTCTTTCAAAAAATTAGTGAAAACTAATGAGTCGCTACGTGGATAGGACACTGGTTATTCATTGAAAAATGACTCGTGCAAAGATTTATACAGCGTGCAAAGATGAATTGCGCGAAGAATTTTTCAACTTTCCGCAACGACGTTCCATTATTTCTCACGTAATGTAAACTGGTAAATGTGGTATTACATTTTTATTCATTTTGATGGACTATATTTTCAACTTTAGGACGAGAAACACTTAATTAACCTATTCCATTATTGACAAATACAAATTGTCAACAATTACAAATTTCACGAGGTGCCCATTTTAAAAAATTTCAATAAAAGAATTACCAAATCAATTCACGTAAATACTTTGCGCGACAAATCGTTGTTCAGCGGAAATAGCAAATCTGCGTATCTTGGCACTACCTCGGCTGGATTTGACAATCGTGCGTACAAGCTGCAGTAGATTAGCGAACGAAATGCCGCATTGTACTTGAACGTTGGGATTCGTGTTCGGCTGCAATTAAATTACGCGACCCATTAACAGATAACGACAACGCGAAGAAATCGATTTCGGTCTAGACGCTGAAGGGCTAAGTAAATGTGCTAGGAACTAGGTCTTTGGACTTTGATGGGCTAAAAACTTTGCCGGGTTGGCGAGATACATCGGTACCAAGTAAATTACGAACATTCACCGGAATCGAAATTACGCTTCGAGTGTTTAAGTCTTATACTCGATGGTATACCTATCAACTGACTCGAAACGTAAGGATACTATTAATTTCGTATGCAGTGGAATTCTAATTCGAAGTAAACGCTTTCAATAAACGGTAATTATCGTATGGATCAAACCTGTTGAAACGCCTACGGCCTATTTAATCTCATTTACTTAACGTAGCTGTATAAAGCTAGACGAGAAATTGGCTAATCTTCGATTTATACGATACTTGCACGAAATTATTGAACTTATGAATCTTTGATCTAAGATCAAAAAAAGTGTGAAAAAAATATTGCGTATAATAGTTTCATCAGGCAAGACTATAGTTATGTATAAAACCAGAAGGCATACGAGCGAAAAATATTCTTTAAGAAATTCATCGTAAATCCTTCCAATAGCAAGCGTCGAAACTTTTACACGATGCTTTTATTCTCTGCGTCTGTTCACTTCAACGTTGCATCCCGAATCAAGCGATCATTTTTGTGTTCTCTGTATAATTGAAATATTGAAATAATTGCATTGATATATAGTAAAAGAAATATATATATATACACATATAGCGAGTATCGATAGCGTCGAGCGAAATTGGGCAATATTTCTCTATTCCAGAGAATGAAACTGAAGCGTTTGCATTTCATCGATATCTCGATTAATCGACGCGTGACTCGGCCGATCGGCCTCAGGCGTCGGAACTGACAGAAATTCCAGCGCGATCTTGTCAGTGAGAAATCTAGATTGCCTTTCGTACTGTACATTACAACTCGATGGCCCGAATGTACGGGTGGTCGCGTTAGTCCGTATCCTATTGAACAGTATAGTGGCGGTGGACGCAGTTTCCTTGTTCAGAAACTGAGCTGACGGCGTGCAATGTCCGATCCAATCTACGTATGTATGGTCCACGGCTAACGGATGCCAGCCAACTCTAACCCGACCCTGGTGTGTACGGCAGTATCGTCATTCCCCGACGATCTACATGCTCGCGTAGGCGGTGCAAAGCTCGATGTAACTATACGCGTGTGGATACAGTCGACCGAGGACGTTGTATTCGGTGGCACAGTAGCACGAGACCTCGCCAAAGGCGACAAGGGATGTTCCCTGGCTAAATTGCCGCTGTTGCTCGCGAAATATCTCATTTTTACTTAGCTCTCCCTCTCCCTTTCCCTCCCTCTCTCTCTCTCTCTCTCTCTTTCGACGGCTGTCTTCGTCGAATCGTGGATACTACCACAATGCTTCTTTGATCTCAAGGTATTCTTATTTTGTGTGTGTGTTTTTGACTTCTAGAACGTCTGTACTTGTACTTTGTGATAAAATAAGAATACATAGGAAAGAATCGCGCGGAATCAAAGGAAACAGAACCAATAGACATTCAACTTGCACACTTTTCGCTGTATGTAACACTGACAACGCGATTTGCACCGGTCTTTGGATTTACGGACAACGGGAAACCCCGAACGAGATCGATATCTCGCGATGTAACGCGTGCAAGGCTGAGCTCGTTCGAATACGAGCGAAACACGGGAGGCGAATGTTGGATATTTTGGTAAATCGAGGTCGTATCTCGCGAGAAAGAAGATTTCCCTTCTATATTCTCCGTTCTTTGGACGACAATCGCGTTCTCGAATTATCTCGACGCCCCCGTATCAGAGTCTACCTATAATCGTTTCAAAGGGAAAGAATTTTAACCAGAGACGCAGGTCGTGAGTGGACTGCGGATGTTCATGCATTTACGTGAAATTTGAATTGCACGTTGTACGCAGTTGTAATATTTAGTAAATGAAACGAGTGACCTGCTTTCATGAGCAGAAACTTTGCATAAACATCATCCGCGACTTCGGTCACGATTCGATCTCATTCGAAAATCACTCTTTCTCTTTTCTTTTTTTAACCTGCCATGCAGAGTAAACTTCGTTCCCTCTCTTCAGTTACCATAATATCGCGACATACTCGCAAAGTGACGTTTCACTGCCACGCTCGCGTGCCACGAACCACCGCGGCAAACGCGTTCCACATAATAATGTTCCAACGTCAATATATTTTGTTAATTCGCACCTGAAAGTTAGTGCCGCGGATAATTATGTTGTAAACTAAGCTAGCTATAGTTCGGGAACTACCAACTCGAAGGCGGTTTCGCCAGGTGATATGATTTCGAAGTAATAGGAATCTCAGTACGATGAAGTCTCGCTGTTGAATCTAAGCTAGCAATGGGAATAGTTCGCCGTAACGATATAAGCTTTTGTTGGATAGCGTGAACTGTGAGCTAAACGTTCCTAACTCCTGTTACTAGTAACTAGTAATTAAGCGAGGCGCCGCTGTGTGAAACGACCTACCCTCTGTTCCACCCACCTTTCAAACCTCCCAAGGGTAACGGAGTAAACCGTTCGTGTCCATGAATTTCGCGCTAGTTAGGTAAACATACCCATTGACAACTTTTTCTCTATCCATTTCGTCAAGTTTGGCCGAAACAATCGGGCTAGAAACTCACAAATGCTAGACTCATAAAGCATCGCTAGATTTCAGCGAGGCTTTAGGTTCGATACTGAGAAGATCCTTATGCACATATTCAAGTACTCGTGGTTAACATAAATTGGATACCTTTAATTACGTCTTCGAACCCGAGACATTCTTTCTACTTTTCTAGTTTCGTATCAAAATATACTCCTTATTAAAATATTGCTTATTAGGTGACTCTACCTTTATACACCCAGTGGGAAAATAAATGATGATTTTAATTTCTAATTATTTTCTGAATGTAAAGAAGATGAAAATTTCTATAGATTCAAATGTAGAACGATCTGCGTGAAGAATCTGAGATACATTCTTTGCTTTTTTTTTTTTTTTTTTTACATTTATCGTAACATGCCAGAGTGATTCGCGGGAATTCGAAAATTTTAAAAATTCTGCGTTCTTTCGTACGAAAATTATCCATGTTTTTATGTCTTTCGAGGTTCATTTAGCAATTCAATATCCGAGAAGCTTCGTTTCAAATCTACCGTTGCGAATGCTACTCGTTTCCAAGGAGATGCAGCATTCAGAATTACTCGCGTGAAATTTCGGAAAGCGAGCGGCAGGAGCGCCGATTTCGTAACTCGACTGAAAAATTCGACGATGCATAACGACCAGCATGTGTACCCTCTCGAAGCACGGTTTCCCGTGGATATTTACCACTAACACATGCCATGAAATGTTTACTAACTATTCTTTCCCGCTGCTTGAAATGCATGGCCGGTTGAATATTCCGGAGGTTCGTTTAATTCAACGTGAAAACGCACACGGAATACAGATATCAGAAATTCGGCCGCTTCGAGGTAGAGTTTCTACACGCGAATAGATTCAAACGTAAATCGTAATATAATCCACGAGATATAATGGTCGTTTTCCACCGGTTCCGGTATTAATAACGTCTTAATTGGAAATTAGACCATGACACAGGTGTTCAGCCTTGTTTTCCGCGGGATTGCATGCCGTATCGTACAAATCTTAATTCGTATAATTAATTAATCCGATAGCAACGTGACACTATTCTATTTGTTGAATACCGCGGCGGTGTATTGAATTTTTGCCTCGTTCGTTCAATTTCATTCTTATTTATTTTTACAGATTTACGTATTGTATATTACTAAAACTGTGCATACGTGTAGTATTGTAAGTTTAGCAACGTGTAATAATTTATTTATAAAAACGATTCACAAACGGTTTATTAACGCAAACTTATGGCTTAGGTTATCGAATTTGATTTAAAAGGAGGGAATTTAAACGCCTGTTCAGAGATGACGTGACTCCACTGTATGCAAGAAATACATGAAAATCTGCAAGCGAACCTTATTCCGTCACCGAGAATGATTTAAATCGCATCGATTAAGAGATTATATAAATCGTCTCCTCCACTTTAAATCAGCTTCCCTAGCTTTAATCGTTACCATTCTGGACAACGAATTTATGATGGCAATTCTAATAATTTAAATCTCTAATATATAAATCCGCAATATAGAATAGATCAAACTGTCATGGGACAATTTTCCTACATTTATAAATATTACACAGTTTATACGATGACTTTGTAAATAATTGATATGAATGTCAGATGTAAAATGGAAATTATTTTAAATTGAAAATGCTTTGAGTGATATTACATTGCGGACGTTTGTACAAATTCAAAATAGAGATTTGTTCTATTTAATTTATTTTATATTACTTTATTTTATATGTTACGTCTATATATTTTTAGGAATCTAAGCTTCAACATCCGCCGTCTAGTTGCTATTAAAGCAAAACTAATTAATTTTACTCTTGTAAATTTTTCAATTTCATCATCTCTGCCAATATATATTCAATATTACATGAATATTCAATTTTCGAAAAACAGATTTGTTTCCATTAATTCATTTGTTTCGAGATGAAAATGTGAGATATAATATTAATAAATTGTTCCATTTATTAGTGTGGCTTTTGAACGACTTAATCTCATTCTATTTATTTATTTACCTATCTCGACTAACTAAAAACAAAACACAGAAAAACGAGATCGAAGTGCAACTGAAGAATAACTTACATTCTATTATAACCTATTATAACCTATGCATACATATAGATTATAATATTATAACTTCATTCACGATTTTGCAAAAGTTAATATTTCTACGTAAATTCTGATTAAATCAAACTTGAATTTACGCACTTAATGTCCTCTGACATTCGACATCAACGGTTTTCCAAAACTAAATATTCAGTTCGAATCTCTCGCGAATCGACTCTCTGAAGTTGGCTGCGCCTCACGGTGCATTACGATTCAAACGAACAATTCGTCGGAATATTCGTACGAAATTTTCAAATTTTACAACACTGTTATTCCTCAAAACGTTATCAGGAATTGATAGTACTCACCCAAAGCAGCAAACGGCTCGGTTCTCGGCACGTATGTGATTTCAATCTTGGGGAGGTGAACGCGATCCTAAAAAGAGCTTGAGAAACTTCACGTGCATGGCACAACAGCTTGGTCGCGATTAGAAGCTTCAGGTGTAGTGGGGTACAGTGGGTAGGGATGGCAAGGTGAAGGGGGTGGTGGGTCCCTTGCGGTGAAACGGTGGTGGATGGTTCGCTGGACGACCGTCGTTGGGGCGCTGCAACCCGTCAGGACGTCAGTTTGCTATCGCACCGCGACACGGTCGGATCTTACTCCGTTAATCGTTACGTATACACACGCGCTACGCTCTGCCCGTGAGAAATTCTTTCGCGATCGGTAACCGATACACGTCGATACACATGTTCGATACGAGATGACGCTGACCGCGCGATCGCAGCTCGCGGACGAGTGAGAAAGAAAAAGGTGAAGTACTCACTTGTATTCTCTCGTTTGCGGACGAACGTCCCACTGCGAATGACACACGAGTTCGTTGAATTTCATGCGCGCAAATGTTCGTCGCAAACGCGCGTCTCAACCTGCACGTAATACGCAGATAATATTCGTGTAATCCGTCGAATGTCAACGCCGAGTTCAGCGGGATGTTTTGTGTTTGTGCTATAGTCGGAAAGTGATTCGAAGATTGTTGTCCTTCGAGAAGGCTGTTCGCGGAAACGAGCACGGCGGGCAATATCGCGCGATAGACTGTCGTGTGTCGTGTCGTTCATCTTCTTGGAATGAACTTCTTCCTATGAAAACACTATGTGGGGATAATCGAAACGCGCACAATTCTCGCGGATTCCTCGAGACGCTGTTCTCTTGGCTCTGTGGGGGATTTGAATTGACCGTTGTGACGTCACTCGGTCGTTGCATCGTGCGCGCAACGTCCGCCATCAGCGCTGATGTGCGATCGAGAATCGAAGGCGCGGTGTGCTGGTTAAATCGAACGGAATCGATACGGTTGGAATGTTCGCGAAAGAACGTCGAATATGCGAAATACGAGTGAACGTTTAACCGACGCACGTACGCGTAATCATCGTGGCCTGTCATCAAGGGGATTTCGATTGAATCTGCTGAGGAGGAAAGTCAAGTGCGCTGTGTGAACGACATTCAGTTTTCAAATTTAATTGAAATTCCCCTCGTGATTGCCCGTATGTCGTGTGGCTGTGTCTGAAATTAATTGGCGACAATTGGAGACGACGACGGATGCGTCAGGCGAGCGAAACGGAGAAAAAA